AAATAAATAAAATTATTAAAAAAAAAAAAAAATCAAGCTATACTAGGGAATTTTACCCTCTTTTTGTTTATTAAGAATCAACCCTGGTCTGCTTGACCAATTTTCACTCCCAACGGAGTCAAAGGACGACCGTAGTTGCTCCCTCCTTCCCTTTGTTCCCCAACTACCCGGGACTTGGTAACCACGGATGCCAGGAACAGAAAGTGAAGCCACGTGCTCACCTGGCTATGTGGAACCAGTGATCGGAAGGGTATATTTCCCGGCTTTGGTTTCATCAGAAACAAGGAGTTCTGCTCACTGCTCAGATGAGGCAGCTGCTGGGGAAGAAAAGCCATCAGGGCCGTCTTGCTCTGGCCAGACCCAGGGCCACCTTGCCCACAGTCTGCTTTGTAATGAGAAAGGGGTTTGGTATTGCCGTAGTCCAGCACTGACCCTTGGTTAGTCACAGCATTCTGATTCAAGTTACTTGGTGGCTGGTGAGTCAGCAGGTTGACGTGGCTGGGCTGGAGGTAGGGGCCTCCGGGCCTTGGGGAGCTCTTGTTCACACTGGGCATCATGAGCAGTTTGGAGTTGGTAAAGTCTTGCTTATAGCCAGGAGGGCTGGCAGGCTTCTCCATAGGATAAGGGACATTTAGGGGACTGTGGGAGGGGCCTGTCTGCTGCCACGTGGACATCTGGCCTGGGGCTGCTGCCGGGGCAGCCTGCTGTGGGTTCTGCAGCATCTGCTCGCGCTTCTGCTTGGCAGCGATCTGCTGGAGCTGGTGGGCAGAGGACAGCTCTGAGGCCCCTCCTGGGCCCTGGCTAGGCAACACCACACTGGAGAGGGCTCTTTGTGCATTCTGGGCCTGGGCTGATGCCGGCATCAGGTTGGGACTGGGATTGTCTGCCCCGGGCTGACCAGAGGTGTGGAACAGAGGCTGAGAGGCCCCCAGGCTGGGTGAATCTGTGTTCACAGGGCCAGATGAAGCCCCCATAAAGGTCTGTCCTGCAGACCCAGCCCTCACTTGTGGAGAACCTAACTGTTCTTGCTCAAAGGCTGCTGGAGAGAATTCTGTCTTAATATTAATGTCCTGTGCCAAGGGGGTCTGTGTGGCAGAACCAGAAGACTCTGGGTCCTTCTTTTCTTCAAAGTCCTCATTAAACAGATCCTTCATGTCTTCATCAGGCACTGACCTATTCAGCTCCTCGATGAGCTCCTTCCACTCCTGCTCGTTAAGGTTGAGGTCAGGCATGAGGTTGCTTTGAGATATGGAGCCTCCGGCCCCTGCGATCATGCAAGGCAGGTCATCAACAGGCTCTTGTTTCAGTTCTTTATTCAAGCTCAGAGGAAATGACTCCCCAGGGTTGCTGCCTCCGTTCAGGTGGAGGCTTGAGTCTGCTAGACACTTCTTGCTGATGGAGTCCAGCCCCAATGAGTGCTTCCCACTGGCCTGCAGGGCCTCTCCACCAGGCTTGTCAGGCTGACCAAGGGGGGAGGCTGGAGGCAGGCCGTTAGAAGAGACAGCTACTCCCAGAGGGGCCTCCCGGCGGGTCTTCTTCTGCCCAGGAAAGAGATCTCCATAGCCATTCTGTTGATCACCATTCTGAGGGGAGGTGGCACTATCAAGATTTCTCTTCACTGTATCATGGAGATGCTGAAAAACATGGAAGAGTGACTTACGTACACAACGTCATGTATGAGGCCCCTTTGCTTCTAACGGTAACTTAAACCATGGGCCTGTATCTCTGCAGTGCTCTCCTGATGATTTTGCTTGCCCAGTTTACACTCCCCACTTCTGAGAACACACCCTCATTTCCCCTCTGGGGTTGCCTCTCCCTTGCCCAGGTCCTGTGGCCTTGCCTGAGTCAGGACGACTAGCTCAGCTGTGGGAAAACAACCCAGTTGCAGTCAGTGCGTCAGTCCTCGACTTGTGCAGCCCTCTCTCTTTGCAAGACACGAGCCTGGTGCTACCCATAGTCATTTAGTCTGAGGGTGTGCCCAAGAATGGAGCCAACAAGAAAGCTGGAGGAGACATACACCTTCTTGAGGGCAGTGTTGGAGTCCTGGATCTAGCTGTACCCGAGACCAGCCATCCCCCTGGATTTTTCACTTATGGCAACCAATAAATTCCTTCTTGTATGAAAGCCGGTTTAACTTGGATTTCTGTTGCTTTCAGCTTAAAGAGCCCTGGCCAGTACAGGCTCTTTCTCAGGCCTTGGTGGGGGCTGACCACAGCCTCAGGTCTCCATCTTGTTACACAGACCAGTTTTCATGCCCTTGCCAGCCTTTCTAGGAGCCCTTGCCCGGCTCCACCCCTTCTCTGGGCTGGGCTGCTTCCTCACATGCCTATAGGCCTCTGCCTTCCAGCTTTTGTCTCACTCTCCTCCCCACCAACCCCGAGCACCTTCCAATCCCCTGTGCCCAGTCACCAGCCCTCACAAGCCCCACCACTTCTTATCAAGACCATTTATTTGAACACAGTCAGGTCTGTCTGGCACCTTTATTCTCGCTTCCCCCATGTTCTCCTAACTAGATCCATTCAACTAACCTTATTAAGAGTCTACTTTGTGCCTGGTACAAGTACTGTGGGATATCAAGAGAAATGAGATGGTCCCTGCCCTTCATGAGCTTCCAGTCTCTTAGGACACGGAAGAGACACGGACATGGCTATAGAATAAGACAAATGCCCTATGCAAGTGGTAGAACAACGAGCACCTGAGAGCGCAGGGGCGAGAGTTGGGGTGGGAGGAGAGGAGGTCGCATCCTTCCACTATTTCCCCAATCTGTGGTCAGCTGTAAGGACAGGACTCCCCCACTAACAGAACGGAGGGCCTAAACTCAGCCTCTCAACTCCTGCCGCTCCTTTCCTATATTTACTTTTGTTACATTTTCGCCCTTCACTCCAGACCCCAATTCTATCCCTCACTCCCACTGACCCTACTGACCCTAAGGATCTATACCGTGCTATTTACAAAGTTACAAATGACAGCTCTCATTACCTTTACACCGATTTCAGAGGTGTCTGAGAGTAGTACACAGCACTCTGTGCTGTCATCCTCTGGCTGCAGAGAAGGGCCACACTGAGCCACCACACCAGCCTGAGGAGCCTGAGTGCAGGAGGACTCCCATCTGGGGTCCTACCCAAGGCAACAACGCAGGAACCAGCTTTCAGCTAGATACAAATACTTAACACAAGCAAGAAAGCAAGGAGGGCAATTTTCTCAGTCTCTGAGCCCCAGTTTTAATGCTCCCATTTCATTTTTCCCTCTACGTCAAGACTTTCTTATTTCTTAACTGTTAAAGCTGACTATAGGGGCCTGCCCGGTGGCGCAAGCGGTTAAGTGCACACACTCCGCTGCGGCGGCCCGGGGTTCGCGGGTTCGGATCCCCGGCGCGCACCGAC